TCCTTCTTCTCTGTTTTGTGGGGAAAAAATTCAGTTGCCCTGTAATTTCACTTTCACCTGAACTGAAGCTACCACTGGAATCTATTAAATTGAGTATTTTTCCTTTAACAGCTTCTTTGACTTTCTTTAATTTTTCCTTCAGATATGTCACTTGTGACAACTTTTTAGTGGAAAGTGGTGACTCTGGAGTCTCGTTCAAGGAAGAAACAAAGTGGGTCTGCATACTTTTAAAGCTGTTCAAGTTTTTCTTTTTGTTTATGTCATATTCTGAGCTTGAAGTGACAGCTGCTTCATTTCCAAAACTTTTGGGTAAATTTGCAATAGTTTTCCTGCATTTGTCGTAGATTCTTTGTCCTTTCTGAATCCAGGGAACTTTTGTCATCTAGTTTACCACAGATCTCAGGTTTTTGTTTTTCTTAACACTTGCACTGTAACTACAGATGTTCAAGGGATTGCAAACAGTTTTAAAACATTTAGTTGTTTGACACTCACAGCACTTGTTGCCATCTTATTTAAACTTTGCAAAAGTAAATATTAATTTTGTACTTGACAAAACCGCTACAGAACTTGTCAGATAAGGAAATATAATTGCTGTACTGGATTAATGTTTGGACTGAAAGGCTGGAAAGTCATGATGCCCTTTGGCATGACTTTACAGGTTACAACATGACTTATCATGCCTAACTATTCAGTGTAGCTTCAGATCACTAACAAAAAATTGTATATTCTTATCACTTTAATGTCCCAACATGATACTTTAAAGAGATTTACTCTAAGTATTGTGAGATAAATTTGCATAAATTTATGCTTTTTAATAAATTTTGATCAAAATATTAATGTGCCCTAATATGTTATTGGTGACATACTATATTAAAACCCCACATAAAAGGTTTTAATTGGTGCATGTATGAACCAGGACCAGAGTTATAAGCATTTTAGTGTATCAGAACAAAGGTAAAATTAATGTAAAGGTTTACATTTCAAAATCATATGTCTCTGCAGTTTATGGAAGGTAAAATTTCATTTTTGTCACTTTCTATGAAGACTCAGCAAGCTTGCATACGTTTTTAGAATCAGGTGGTTATGAAAATTTGCCCTAAAGTGTGTTGATTTGACATGGAATGACCCAGTCTGTGTTTAGAAAAATGTTAACTGGATTTGACTGGCTCGTGATACGTTTCAATAGAAGTTTGTGTGAACACATTGATGCACATGGAATTTTTTGATAGCTGAATTCTATTGACTTCTCAGGGAAGACTCACTGCCTTGGAGTTTGGCCCCCCTGCTATCTCATGTTACAAAATAATTTTCATTCTTTCATGTGGAAATTAACATTTAATCCTTTAGGAACTTTTGAGACTGAAAACATGTCCCACTTCATGGCGGAGGAACCAAGAGAAATGAGTGCTGATCTGCTGTGCCGTGTGTGTGCATGTGCAAGCGAGGAGTTGGTGCCTGTGTTTGGGGAGAAAGGTTTGGAACTGCAGCTTCTTGACAAGATTCACACCCATCTGCCCATCATGGTAAAGTATAAACTCATTCATGACATAATCCAATATTTTCATCCTTCTACTGCCCATTATTTGTTACCTAGACAGGTTAGCATAGGGATTCCCAATTGCAGGTACCAAGTATGATGAGTGATACAAGAAAGTCGGAGTAGCTCGTATTTAAGGTTTTTCCATGAAGTTTTATTTCAGTCTTGGAATTTTTCTTTCTTTTACTTACCCCTATATAACCCATCAGCATCCAAGCTCTGCTCACTTCAAACCTGAAGATGGAAGCAGGAGCTTCCTCTGTAATGAAGATTGCTGTCTTCTGGGTTATTGCGCTGTGTAGTCTGGTAGATTTCCACCAACGTTTCAGAGGTCATACTGCCTCCATCATCAGGGCAGGCAGTATGACCTCTGAAACGGTGGAAATCTACCAGACTACACAACGCAATAACCCAGAAGACAGCAATCTTCAGACTCACCACTGTGAAAACATCAAATCTACATCCTCTGCAATGTTGCCTGTACACCTAGGGTACATGATGCATAATCCGAGATCATCATAATCAGAACATATATTTTTAAATACATACAAAACCTCAGTATATTAAGTCATATATTTGCATTAAATCAGCTCTTAACAGTCACTACAGTGAATCATTGCTCATTCACAAGATGCCATCTGGCAAGTGTGTACTTGTGGTGTTTGTCAGTAGTCATGTATCCATTGCCTATTGACATGAAAACATACCCAATATTCCTCTTCAGGCATCATTTTGTTTGGCTGAACAGAAGTAAAGGTGTTGGAAATTTGAATACATGTAAAATGTTGCCTTATTACAAAATGTATCTCATAACAGATACAAGTACTTTATTTAAACAGCTCCAGAAATATAGAACTGAATAAATTACAAATCATGTGTGAATATTTTATGGGAACAGTAATTAAATTTGATCATTGCTTTGAAAATGCATTTTCAAAGTACAGTATAGTCCTGGTATTCAGCCTTCAGTTATCCAATGCACTATGTCAGAACACTGTATTATATCAACAGTCACACTCAGTATGTAGCAGAATGATTATGTTAAATACTATTTTTGTTTGTGAGATTTCTTCATTTGATACCATATTTTACTTTGTGATTTAATAATTTCCTAAATTGCATTTATGTTTACCCTTGTCTCTTTTGTTAGACTTCTGTATTGACTGACATTTTCAGTTATCCCACCATCCTTGGGTCCCATTTGGTTCAGATAATTAGGACTCTACTGTATACCACAGTTGCCTGATGATTACTTTCTGAGAAATTGTCGAACTGGATTTGATTTTCCATACATTTGTCTTAATTTGCAAATGTAGGACAACTGTTCATATTTTAATGAAAATGGAAGTAATAGAAGCTTGTTTGGCAAATACAGTTTATTTTGGTAAACCGACAACTAAAAGTTATTTAAAAATTTATGCAGCTACAGTAACTTCTTAAATGGGAACCGAGCTAAGATATACAGCCTAACCCTGCTAGAGTGCCACACGTTGTTCACCATCAATACTAGCAATAGAGCAAGGCTGGCAGTAAATTAATATTGGGGGGGGGGGGGGGTTATGACTATTATCTATTTATGTATTAAGTGCCATATGGTATTCAAAATACTGAAGGGAAGAAGAAATGACAAAACTGTAGAGTATGTGTCTGTGCATACACCTTGTAATCTTCATACTTGCTGCCATGAAAAGATGAAATCTCACTTTTAGTAGTACACCATCTTAGACAGTAGGCCTATTCATCTTTACTGTTATCTCATTTTCTGGCATGAAACATTTTAATATTTGTCACACTCATCTGCTGGCCAAGTACTTTTGCTCATTCAATTACCTTGCCAGTTCCTGTTCCCCCCCCCAGTCGCCCTATCAAAATAACCAACACATTCTCAGGGTCTTCATGTGTTGCACCCTTCAGTATTGCCAAACTTGTCACATGTCTCGTTCTCCTATTTCTTTCTTTCGCTGAGAATATCTCCAACACATTACTGAGTGATGGGTTTACCCAGTAAATGGGATAATTAGCTGGCAGTGTTTTGTTGGCTTGTGCAAGTGCATGCCTCTTTTTGTCGCCAACACTTAGTCACTTTCCTTTTCTCCGCATCACACAGATGCATTGTTTGTGATTATAGGCACCTGTATCTATGTGTGCTTAACTAGTCTGGTGAATATGTTCAAACTGAAATGATTTTCCATACTGTGTGTTAGTTCAAGAAAGAAAATGTGCAGAAAACCCTTTCATTACTGAAGAGTCTACTAACACTGTCAAAAATGTAAAGTAGAATAGGTGGATGTGTAACTTGCCTACAGAATTCTTGAATTTTACTTGTTGTACACAGGTTAGGTTATGTTTGGTAATGTTTCCATTTTCAAATCAACATCAGGTTAATTTACTGTAACTGCCTGAATTTGGATTATCACCGTTTACACCACTGACCCCAAGTAACAGCAGTCCCTCCCTATATGCTATAGGTGACTTATTTACCTGGGTATGGTTTAGTTGTCAATGTAGAAGTTGGAGTATCTTTATAATTAAATATTCTAGAGATGTCTGTATAGGTGATGGCACGGCACTGTATCAAACTTGATTTTAATGCTTAACAGTACATTTGTTTTACCACATGCTGGCGGATGGCAGCTATTGGGGATGGCTCATTAGTAGGGAATGCCTTTTGAAATTACATGGGAAATTTCTTCTTCAAGGATTTCTTGGGTGGTTTCATATAGAGTGGCACTGTATTGGGTTTAACTGTACTTCAAGATTGGATCACAATGGGCTGAACTGTAGAAATGTAAAATGCTATGATGGAAACCTCTTCATAAGAATTTGAAGACTTTGGTGTCCTTTAATGCATTGTTTCAGAATTTGAGAACCCTTTGTATTGATATTGAGTGAATACCATAACCACTTTCTGTGGAGTGCATTGAACACTCTTACACTTTTTATGTGTGCATGTAATTGTTGAAAATTAAAATTGCGTACAGTCTGTAACTCTAAGGTAGTTTTGTTTCTGTCTTGAACACAGCTTGAAATTTCTACTTCTGACCAGAACTGATTGCCAGTGTGTGAAACTGGAATTTGTTTTGATTGTCCATACATTTGATTCATAGGCATTATGCTTTATTTCTTGTGAAAGTTGTTAAAAATATTATACAAATTGGAAAGATCAAGGAAGCGTTTCTTGTTTAGGGCATTCAGAACAAAATACTTGAGTTTTCTAACTTAAAACAAATCAGTATTAAAATTTGAAGCTCTCCATCTCTACTGTAAAGTGTTGAGTACAATGAATTTTAAAACTAAAAAATTGTTTTGGTGCTGTACTTCTTATCTCGAGAGTGTTTGTAGCTCATGAAATTTCCTGCTTTAATTTTGTAAAATGGCCAAGAAGAAAACATTTGTCATAAATGTGTGTCTGTGGGTGTATTTGTGTATGTGCATGCATGTGCGTATGCAAGTAAATATATGTATGAATGAGCACATACTCTGCTTGAAACAGGTGCTTAACAAAGGTAGTCAGATTTTAGTGTTAATTGTGTACTATTTTTTTAATAAAGGGATTCATTTATGCATTGCTCTTCTTTTGTATTTGGGTTAGTATTCAGGATTCTTGTTTTGTTTGTAGGTAACTGCAGAAGATTTGCTGCCAGTTAATGTGTGTTTGGATTGTATCTACAGACTAGAAATGTGCCATGAATTTGTTCATGGTTGTTTGGAAGCAGATGCAAAGCTAAGAGAAATTCTTTGTTTGGATACAGATAATGAGGTAAGGAAATTTGTAGTTGATACTGTTTTATCTGTTATTTTTTCATAAGATATGTTTAAAATTCATTGTTCAAATGGAATAGTCTAATTTGTCGGGTCAAACCCTCGCCCGAAATTTTGCTTATTTACAGATCTAATCTAGTTAGTAATCATTGTACACAAAATTTTAGCTGACGATACATGGTGCAAGAGTGTGGAGGAAAAAGCCAAAATTTGGAATTTACATTTCTAATTTGCACCACTACGCATGACAACAACGCGCTTAGCAGTGCCTCAGTATTCTCCCATGCATTTTAATGGAGTGCCTGGGCCACGAGCTGATAAGACTGTGAAAGACTTGATAAATTCTGTGCACATGCGCGCACTCACACACACACACACACACACACACACACAGGGAGAAACTAACTTTGCACACAAGCACTCCATAGTGTTATTCCTTGTTTTAAAAAAGTTGGAACTATTATACAACATACATCCTGTGACATTTTGTTTTCATGATACACTTCACTGTCAAATGGAGCAGGCTATGAAATGCTCAAACCACGGCCACCTCACAAATACAATAGGTGTTCAGAGCAGCCTCCGTCCACTTCATGGCAGACGGTATTCTCTCGAACTCACCTTAAGGTGTTGGCATCAGCCGTTGTCACGTCTTGCCTCGAGATCTTTGACAGTCCTGGGAGGGACTGCATAAATGTACTCCTTCAGGTGTCCCCACAGGAAAAAATTTATCAGTCAGATCCAGCAACTGAGGAGGCCATGCAATCGGCTCTCCACTTTCAATCTACCTCCCTGAGTATATCATGTTCAACCACTGCCGGACATCTTCCCCATTGTGCGCTGGAACTCCATTGTGCTGAAACCACTACCTCTGCCTTACAGCTAGAGGCACAGCTTCAAGCAGTCCCAATAGAAAAGTTTCCAGATAATAACGATATCGTTGACAGTCAGCCTGTTAGGTAGCAGATATGGTCCCACAACAGTGTCCCCAAAGATAACAGTTCCAAACGCTGACTTCAAAGCAGGCTTGTTACCTACTTTCGCTGATAGCATGATGGTCATCCCGTTCCCAAAAGTGACTGTTGTTGACCACACTTCGTCTGAACGCAGAATGTCATGTAGAAAGAGCCCATCTGTAGTATGTTGATGTCATAGCCATTCGGACAATGGCAACCATAGAGGACGATCGTTTAGAAACAGATAAGCGCTCCGCGAGTAGTGGTATGGTTGCAATTGCTCTTCATGGAGTATATCAAGGACCCTCGTTTGGGATAGTCTCAATTCTCGTGCAATGTCGCATGAACTTCTCCACGGCTATTGTTCCACAGCTGCAAGGTCATCTTCATTGGGTGGTGTCCATACTTTCAGTGTGCGACCTGCATTCACATGTGCCATGAGCGTTATGCGTCCTATCTCACGGAGACGCAGCTCCAGTTGAAATACGATACATTAGCGTGTGGATGATGTTGACCAGGATCATATAGCTTGTATTCTCATGAAGCAGTACCAGCTTGGCTATTACAGGCACCAACACAAATTAACTTCAAAATGCAAAGCACACATCTCAAAAGAATACAAATTTAACATTCATTATCGGTTGGTGGATCAGGCTTGAACTGAATGTTTCCTTCATTGGTAATAGAAATACTTTCACAGTTGGTCTTTTACACTCTTTTCTGTCACATTTCATTGTAGTGGTCTCACAAGCCTATCTTGGCCAAGATGTACAGCTCCAGTCATTCCCAATTTCCAGCTTATTGGTGGAAGATGTTCATCCTTCACCAGAACTACGTTGCTTATTTGGATGTTGGTTCAGCTGGAGTCTGCTCAAGTGCTCTGATAACCAGTGCTTCCATAAATGTTAAACCAGTCTGTGGACCAACTGCCACCATGTCAATAAGTTAGACTGTGCTTGTAATAGATTGGTTCTCGGATATAATTCAGAGGTTGTCCAATCAAAAAATGGCCAGGAGTCAGTGGTTGAAGGTCATTGGGGTTAATGGAGAGGACCGTTATGGATTGGGAATTTTTCAAGCTTGAATCTGAGAAAGGACTGTGTGTATCTCTTCAACTTCAGGAACCTTCTGGTACATCCTGTAATATTCATAATGTTCTTGGTTTTAGGTGTACTTTGAAGGATATAATGAAGATGAATGCAGTACAAATCAAAGTCCTTTGGAGGTGACTCAGGAACTAGACAATGAACAAGATACAAATGTGTTTGGGGATTCATGTGATACACAAGATGGCAGCAGTTGTGATGTGGAAGATACGGATATGATGAGTAATAATCTAGATGATTCTTATGCACAAGATAAGTATGTGATCGAAGATGAGGCTGATGCACAATTAGATGATTATCAGAACTCTACTGATCACATGCCAGAAGAGGCTGCTGCTGTTCAGTCAATATCTGAAGAGGTTGATGAAAGTCACTCACTGGTAAGAGAAATAAAGATTTTCCTTGTTCCAGTCAAATTTCTTTTAATTAGAAGGTAGAATAATTAGTTCATTTTTACTCCTGATTCTGCAAATCAGGAGTAAAAAAAATAATGTACTCTGTCCTGAGCTAGCTGCATCCTGTTTGCTCCATCGATTCCTATCTCCCTAAGGTCCATGTTTACATTATATCCCACCTACGCCTAAGTCTTCCCAGCAGTCTCCTCCCTTTAGACCTCCCAACCAATAAACACCTCTCCCCTCCCCCATGCAAGCTCCATGTCCCGCCCACCTCATCTTCCTCGATTTAGTCACCCTAACTATATCAGGTGAGGAGTACAGGCTGGGAAGTTCATCATTATGCAGTTTTCTCCATGATCCGTCTCCCTCCCTTTTAGGTTAAAATATCTACCTCAGCACTCTGTTCTGAAAGACCCTCAATCTGTGTTCCTCCCTCGAAGTGAGAGACCAAGTTTCACGCCCATACAGCACAACTTGCAAAATTGAACTTTTGTATATTTTAGTCTTTTTATATATACAAGGTGATTCAAAAGGTTAGGGCCAAACTGAAGGAGCGTATAGAGGTACTCAGAACAACTTTCGAATAGGAATCCATGTCCTTTGAAGTTATCCTGAGTCAGTCGAGGCCATTGAAGTTAGGGAAGTCTGATAACATACCGCTGAAATAATCGTACTTTGCTATTGTCATACTAGCTTAATTTTGTTTTTTATTAATGTACAAGGATTACATTAGCAATCTTACAAACCAAATTATTTCAGCAGTATGTTATCAGACTTCTCTACCTTCAATGGCCTCGACTGACTCAGGATAACTTAGGAGGACATGGATTCCTATTCGAAAGTCGTTCTCTCTGAGTCCCTCTATATGCTCCTTCAGTTTGGCCCCAACCTTTTGAATCACTCTGTATATATGAGACAGGAGGACAAAATATTTTGGACTGAATGATGGTGAGCATTCCCTGAATTTAATCTGCTCTTGATTTCATCATGAGAAGATAAGCAGTACAATATTGATATTGATATACATTGTTTTCTTTTTCTAGGAAACAGGGAAACCAAAATTCACAGTAGTAGTTGTGAAAATGAAGAATACTAGCAGCATGACTCAAGATGCTCAGATAGAAAAGGCTTTAGATGTTCTGAAGAATGTACAGACTTCTTCACAGTCTGTAACCGAGTAAGTCTTTCAGAATTCAATATTTATCAGGAAAGGTGCTGTGAACTTTATTTTGAATTGCCATATTTCCTTGATTTTAAGATGTTGTCAGTTGTAAGATGCACCCTTGATTTAGTGATATGTATTTCAGTAAGAAGATGCTATCAATTGTAAACCACGGCTTAGATCTTAACATCAAAATAATTAAGCTCATGGTCATCAGTAAAATGCTGTATTACCCGGTCAGCTAGTAGTTAATAATAAAAGAAAATAGAAAGAGTATCGAAATATACATACTTGGGCAGCACAATTAATGACCAGTAGGATCACTCCTTAATAAAGTGCTGTATCGAAAAAGCCAGAGCCACTTTCATCAAAATGGAATCAGTGTTCAGAAGTGGAGACTTTAACTTAAACACCAAGTTAAAACTACTTTGATGTTATATTATCTCCGTGGTTTTATACGGTGCTGAATCGTGGACGTTGACCGAAACATCTTCAAAAAAGTTGAAGGCCTTTGAAATGTGGTTGTACCAACGTATTCTCAGAATTTCCTGGACTGACCGTGTAACCAACAAAAAAAGTTCTCGAGAAACTCCGCAAAGATGTTGAGGTTGTTAACACCATAAAAAGGAAAAAGTTGGAATATTTCGGTCATATCATGAGAAATAGTGATAGATATGGGCTGCTTCAGCTGATAATCCAGGGAAAAGTATTTGGAAAGAGGGGACCTGACAGGCCAAGAATCTCCTGGCTTCACAACCTAAAAACTTGGTTCTCGATGTCCACTGGAGGTCTGTTTCAAGTAGCAGGCAGTAAAGATCAAATTGCTATGCTGCTTGCCAACATCCGGAACGGATAGGCACTTTAAGAAGAAGAAGAATCGATTATAAAACACACCTTGATGTGTAATAGATGTGTTTTTTTGAATTAATTAATTAATTAGAAAATACATATTGCAATAGGAATTGTCAGTAATCAAACATTTCTGGAATCTTCCTTGTTTGCTGTCTTTATGTTTACTTTCCCATGACTACTGTTATGTACATGAAGATTTTCCTTGTATTTTAGTCATACAAAATAATTTTTTGACATTGATTCTTAGGTTCTATCAAATGTAAGATACACCCCAGTTTCAGAAATTTTAAAATATGGAGAAATTTCATCTTAAAAATCAATGCAATGTTGTAAATATTATTGTTTCTCCAGTGATGTATTAGATATTGAATTGTTTGACATGCTGCCTGTAACCACATATATTAATGCTGATGTTACTTAGATATCAGTAATTGTTAAAGATAAAATTGATTTCCAGTTCAGGTAAAGCATAATTAAAACACAAAGTGAAAACTTGCCAAGTGACATATGTTGCTAAATTAAGACACAATATATTACATTTAATGAAAAATCAATTCAGGTGTTGAAAATCATTTGGGCATACATAACGTAAAATATATGACTTAAAATATCATAAAACTTGTTAATGAAATACAGTATACTGCTTGGTTGTTAGTGTCTGTTTCGAAGACCTCATACCCATACACTTACATCTGGTTACACCATTCTTCAGAGGAAGAGCTTTGAACTTTTATTGTCTGAATAGAAAATTTGGCCAGCATTTTGGAGGCTGGTCATGCATACATCTTCTGCCAGAAGATAAATGAAGTGTGTTGTAAACGCTGAACATCTTTACAGGGTTGTAATAATGGTATAGTATGTTCAGTATTTCTCTTCTGTACTTCATCCATCACTTAAAATTCTGAAACAAGACCACTATGTTTCCATCTAAAATGTCCAGAGATTGGGATAGGACACTACTATTAGACCCACTAGTTACGTTTTTTGACCTGAAGGTGGAAGCAGAACCAGTTCCCGAAATGTAGTGATCTTGGTTTAGAACTTTAAATAATGATAAGTACAGAAGTGGAGTGATATTGAACTGAACGTCTTTCTAATTCTTACAATGAACAGTTAGACAAAACACTTCTGCGGTGATACTAATCATTTATAAACACATCGTGCAAGTATTAGGTTTAGTTTGCCTATTATGGAAATATGAAATGGGCCCTTTTCACTTTTAGGTATTCTTTATGTTATGTCAAAAGCAAATAACTGCTTATGGCCCTGTTCTGTCTGTCTGTCTGTTTACAGCCAAAGAGATCATGCTGCCATCTACTAGTGGTCATATGAACTTCATGTTCTGTCATACACTCAAAAATGGCTGATGGGCTTTTCATGAAATTTGGTATGGATTTTATCCCCTTGGAGACAAGTCAAAACTCATGATTCTTAATTTCATAAAACCAGATGTACCAACATGACATGCTCAGAGTCTTGAGCTGGGAGGATGTTCCTCAACAATGATTCTCTGAAGGGTGATGACTAAATAACTAGAATATGGCTTGATGGATGTCTGTGAAATGTGGTATGGATGTTATGCCATTGGTGTCTATTCCAGGCTCATATTTTTAAACTTCTTCCAATCTGTAATGCCAACATAATTGATGCTTAAAGTCGTGAGGTGGGAGGATGATTCTCTGCCATTGTCATTATGGATGAACCCTCCGGGATGTCTGATGACGTTGCTTATTCACATGTAATAACTCGAGAATGGTTGGACTGATTTTCATTAGATTTGAGGTGGACATTATGCCATTGGTGGCTACTCAAACTCCAATTTTTAATTTCCTACAGTTGGTAATAGTAATATGTTGGATGACCAAAGTCATGAGGTGAAAAGGTGATCCTCCACCAAGATGTGATTGCCCATGATATTTGGCATTGACTCATGATGTCATCAGTGATGCCATCTATCAGTGATCATGCAAACTGCAAGTCCTGCCTGGTGACATGAATTATTTGATAACCATCGGAAGATTGAGCATGCCATCACTAATGGTGTTGTCTGTCAGTGATTATGTGAACTATTTATGCTGCAGTCTATCACTGGCTTGGCTACCCAACATAATGTATTGAATCATGTTGCTATGGTAGCAACAGAAGAAAGTTATTCTGTTGAAAGAAGTGAATTATTGAAAATTCTAAATATTTATTTATTGCATTTCCACGGACATGTGCGCATTAGTATGTAAGTGTATCACTTCTGCAAATTAAGACGTTAAATACATGAGTATATGAAAAGAGTATGACAGCTAATGGAAGGTTGTGTTTATTGTTACTTGCTCCCCCCCTTTAATGGTCAGTAGTGCGTGCAAGGAGTGTGGCGTAGAGAACACCCCTGGAACTTTTGTGTACGCCAAAGAGTGTACCTTTCTAGTTTTGATTTTGATATCTTCTTCTTTAGCAGTATCTCATCATTTTGTTTGAAATCCTATCAAGCCTTGTGCGGTTTCTTCTTCAGTGTTTATAAAATCAGTTATGGTAGAAATGTGTTTCAGGCATTGAGTCTCAGTTGTTAGGAGCACATGTGGTTGTAGCAGCTACTGTTACTAATCTGTTTCATCAGTATTTGGTTACTGTTTTCTTTGTCATAGGAAACAAGAATTTGTTAATCAGGAAACACTGGAGCAACCACAAAAAAAGGAACTATGTTTAGAATCGTCTGATACTGAACCTCCTGATTGTCTTTTTGATGAATCATCTACCATGGATCATCCTGTTGTATCAAATGAAGACACAAAACCAGAACCAAGTGTGTATGATGAAACGTTTTCCACAGTATTTACTGAAAATGAAGTACGTGAAGAAGGAATTGTTCAAGTTGATTCAAGGAAAGTTTCGGTGGATCATTCATACACACATTGCGATCAGACAAGTTATTGTTGTATGTACTGCAAGAAAACTGTTGTTGGTAAAGTTAATCTTGCATCACATCAAACAGTTTCTCACCCTGATAAAGTATTCTGCTGCCCAGAATGTGATGTAATCATTTATGAATCTAAGCAGTTTTTTGAGGAGCATAAGAAAAAACATTTCAGAAAATCAGAATGTGGTGAAGGCACCTTTAAAGCGAATTGGCTGACGTGTGAAAATTATTTTGAGGAGAGTAAATCTGTTGAACCAGGCAATGGAAATATAAGTGTCAGTGAAATGTTTGATTACAAGAAGAGTGAAAAAGACATTGAAACTTACAAAACTGGTTTGTTGGAGGTAGTTGTTAAATCTGGTACAGTGTTGCCGTCGTTAAAAATCTCAGAACCAGACATGGCTGCTTTACATGAAAAGGTTCATAAACAAACAGACAGGCAGGGTGCAGTTGAAATTGTGAAGGTAGCCGACATTCATGTTGAACCACAGAGATACCTCCTTAAAAAGGGGATATTTCAAAGTAATTTAGAATTTCGTGTGAAAATATCTAAAAACTTCAAAAATATTGACAGTAATGATAGGTCAAAGATTACAGGAATAATTAGGGGTATTATTAAGAAGTTAGAAAATGAAAGAACAAAAGTTGTAGGAACAGAACGATGTTCGCGCAGCAATGAGGTAGTGCAGACAGCAGCTGGTACTGAAGAAATTTCATCACAAAAGGCTAAGAGAAGAATAAAACACAGGCATTGGAGATGCAAACAGTGTGACCACTTATCTGTTTCATGGGAAGAACATGTCAAACACATTTGGGCTCATCCTCCGGTGTCACTCCCCTGTGCTTACTGCGATAAGCGATTCTCTTCCAAGGCAAGACTTCAGTTTCACGCTTCCATACACACACAGGAGAAACCATTCATCTGTGAATATTGTGGGAAAGGTTTTTGGAACACGCAGTCACTTAAGAATCATCTGTACACGCATGATGAAAGTGAGAAAATGTTTGAATGTAAACACTGTGGGAAGAAGTTTGGGACAAGAGCGGGCTATGACAGTCATTGTGCTAGCCACACAAAAGCATCATATCTATGTGATGTTTGTGGCAAGAGCATGAAACATATCAGTAGTCTGAGGTTACACAAGTTGACCCATGTTGATCCCACTTTCTTCAGAAGACATTGTTGTGCTGTGTGTGGGAAAGCTTGTCGGAACAGGTGAGTTATACGCCTCTTAATTCATAGTGACATCTTTTGAAAATGTGTTAATGTGAAGAATCTTCTCATTGAGAAAGTATCACTGGAGCATTTTTATGTTTCATCCATCATAGTCCAATAGAAAGATTAAAGTAATTATATTTAATGTGTTATTGCTGTGTTCACTTCAAGTAGTATCCCAAGCTACAGTTTCATCCTAAAGCACTATTTAAGCCTGGTCATTTACAGCATTATAGTACAACACATGAATTTGGAAATTCAGACTGTTATAAAAAAAATTATACTCCTATTAAATTATGAATACTATTAGAGCAAACTGGTGTCAGAAGCTGTCCATTTCTGTCAAACAAGAGTAAGCAACTGAAGTCATTCGCATCGTCAGTATTTGCACTTAGCTCAAGGATTTATTAGTATATTTGTGGTGAATTGAATTAGGAACCATATGGTCAGTAATGAAGAGTGACCAAGGACTGGACAGGCAGTATTGTGTTCTCCTCACCACCTCAGAAAAAAACCTGGAGCCTACCCGGCCTCCTGTCAAGTACGCGTGTTTTAAAAAAAAAGCTTTATCTAGTGCCCTGGTTGAAACCATGTGGAACTTTATCCACATACTGCAAGTATTGAAATGTGGCATGATGGATTGGCACTGGATACATTTACTTAGCGTGAGCAAACAGAGCAGGGCCAAAGCCAGACTAGCCGTGGGGCCCACACAGTTTCCTATCCATCTACTGTTGAGATCTAAAATACATGGAGGTTTACCTCCACTCTCCCTGTACTATTAGATGGCATGGTGCTTAGACACAGGGGGAACTTCACCTGTATATGAAGGAATCAAGTTCCTTTTTTGGAATTCCTTGTGTATGCTCATCCCCAATTCACCTATGAAAATCGATACTACAAAAACTCAAATGGCCAGCTGTTATGAAACTATATAAGCAGCATGCCATTGGGTAACTCTCCACCTCAGTGTTTTAATGCCATCTTCAATATCAGCATGCAGTTTATATAAACTTGTGAGTTGGAATCAATTTATGGTCTTGAAAATGTGTGTTTGATGTTTGAAATATGCACCTTTTGTTAAGGTAAATTGGTGATGTTTGAAAATATGCACCTTTTGTTAAGGTAAATTTAAATAAATTGTGTATAGTATTTTGACCATGAAATAATTAGGAAGTGGTAATTGATTAATGTAACTTCACATAACATATTTGTATGGTGATATGTTAAAAACATATATTGTGATACTCTAAGTAGTTTTAAGACTCACGATGCTAGAGTCTTTGGAGCCCTAAATGCAACGCACCAATCGTCTAATACTCATTAACACTTTTCTGTCATACATTAACATATGATCGAGAAAGTTTCTTATTGCATATCTTTGGTTGTTAGACAATCATATGTCACTACTGGCTGCTGCAAACTGGCAACAGACTATCAAATGCTTTCTCTGGTGTCTGTTGCCATCTGGCAAAAATAATTTGAATGCCTTGAAAAATGGAATGCAATATATTACAGGAATTAAAAAGTTTAGGGGTATTTATATCCCTTAGACTTCCCAGCTGCAGAATATTCTGACAAATATTTGGAAATGACAGTATTGCTACAATTCATTTCAGATTATTTTGTCTTCCTGTCTCTATCTAAAAGTTAGATTAAAATATAACTAATTTACTTGTTTGAGTGTAAAATTTGGTCTCTCACCATGAGCAAAGAATATAGATTGATGGTGGTTGAGAATGGGCCACATGAGTATGTATCCTTTATAGAGGTGACAGGAAGAGACTGCTTGGAGGACCTAGGCACATACGATAGGATAATATTAAAATGGATATTAAGGAAATGTGCTGTGAGAATATGGACTGGTTTTAATTCACTCAGTATAGGGTTTAGTATGGGACTCTTGTGAATATGGTAATGAACCTTATATTTCCATAAAAGACAATTTCTTTACAAGTCAAATGACAATTAGCTTCTGAAGAAACACTGTGGCTGTAGAGTTGGTTATTAGTTTAAAATATCTTTTATGTTGCAGATATCTTCTCACAGAACACATGCGTACCCACACCAATGAACGCCCTTTCAAGTGTTTGCACTGTGAAGAGTGTTTCCATAAGAGAAGTCAGTTGTCTCAACACATGCTGATTCATGGTGATCCTCGTCAGCACATATGTTCTGTGTGTGGAAAAGGTTTTAACCGTATGGGAAACTTAAAGATGCATGCGAAGACACATCAGCGCTCTACTAAACACGTGTGCAAAATCTGTAAGGACACATTTACATGCTTGGGGGAACTGCTTAGTCATCGCAAGATGCACACCAAAGAAGAGGTTGAAGAAGCAATGCAGTTGTGTGAAAGACAGGGTTCTAATCCTTCAGTATATGTGTGTGAGGTATGTGGAAAGCAACTAGCAAGTAAGCTCACTCTTAAATACCATATGATGAGCCACGATGGAGATAAACCCTTTCCTTGTGAAACATGTGGGAAAAAATTTCCTCTTAAGACAAAATTGCAGTTACACCAAAAAATACACAGCAGTAAGAGGCCTTACTCATGCAGTTTTTGCAATGAAGGGTTTCAGACCAAACAGTATAAGATCATCCATGAAAGGATACACACAGGTGAAAAACCATATAAATGTACACAGTGCACTAAAGCGTTCCGCTCAAGAATGATTCTGAATCAGCATATGTTGGTTCATTCTGATCTTCGACCATTTAAGTGCTCTCTGTGTGACAAGGGATTCAGACGTCGGGACACGCTCGACACTCATTTGCGCATACACACCGGTGAACGACCCTATTCTTGCAACATATGTGGCCGCGGTTTCAAACAAAAGGGGGACTGTAACAAACACCAGCGGACACATTTTAAAGGACGCAGGGTAGTGGAAGTTGAAGAAGCTCCAGTTGATGTCACCTTTACTTGTATTCTGTGTGGACTTTCCTTTGACCAGAAGGAAGAACTTTATGGTCATCTTGAGGAATTTCACACATCAGATATGATTGTTGCTTCAGATGCCATGGTAATGAATACAGAAGGTCTTGTCTCAATTCCAGAAATAGTCCAGGATGATAAAACTCTAATAGTGCAAAACTTTGGTTCAGAATGTGATACAAGTTGAAACTATGCTGAAAGCAAAAGACCTGTATGATGTGTGTCAATACATTCAGGTACTTTAGCCACATTTTAGATTTATTTTCTCTACCTTATTTAGCTGTGACTATAGAACAAAGGTTTTATTACAAAAGAATAATCTACAATCTTAAAATCTGAAACAGAGCAAAATACTCCACTAGGACAAATGTACATTACTAGTACAAAACTCTTAGGTTGCCCTTTGTTTCATGTGTACTCACTGTATTGTGATAGTAAAAGTAAGCAGGAAGTGAATATCATACAACATGTTGTTATAGGAAGACATGATGACCTACAGCAAGTCATGTTACTAAAGCAGTGCACTGTTACAACCCAAAAAATTGCTGTTCCATGAATGGAAGTTTGATTTTATATTTAGGTGGTGTATAGCTGAATCAGTAAAATTATTACTACAAAGTGGATGAACAGGATTAAGTTCCCAGCAGAATTAGATATTTTTTCCACATCAGGAACATTTCTGGGGTTCACGAAACCTCCCTGAAACTGGGTACTGAGCCTCTTGTCCTCAGGGATGAAACAGACAGAGAAAAACTGCTAAGGTGTACAGGTGAGGATTTTTAACCTCCATGCCCTGTCCATACCTTCATTGCATGTTGCTTCAGCACATGGGGAACTTCATTAGTTTAATGTGAATATTATTTTATATACAGTAATTATTATGGTAGATAGATACCTGCAATGATCAGACACAGTATTTCTGTTGGTCAAATATTATTGCCCTATCCTGTAAAAGTGCACAGTGTGCACTGAATAGGCACATTCAACAGGCAAGCTCAAAGCAGCAGTAGTGGTCTTATGTAAAGTGGTCATTAAATTTTTCTGATGTAAATGACTCAGCGATACTTTGTAAAAAAATTTCCATTGTTGCATTTAATCAAGTACATTATGTGTTATCAAATTTCTTATGTACAGGCAGCTGGAGAAATTTTAGTAGTCACTGCAGGGTTACAGTGCACTTATAAAATAGTCTGATGCTGTCCTGGAGCATTGAAGAAATCAGGGGTCTCGTATTCCTCATTTGGTAATGATATGTCTCAGTTTAGATATAAGAAATTTTTCACAGAACTTATCTGCAAAGGACAACCAATTTCAGACGGGAAAATTGGAACAAGATAACATGTTGGAGAACACTGCTTTCATTCAAGACTTTGCTTGTTCCAGCCTGGCTACAGCTTTTACGATTTTTCTCAGTCGCTTGAGGCAAGTGGCTACAACCTGTTGCTTTCCTCTCTTTTTTCCCCTCCTTAAAAACATAGCTGTAATGACATTACATCCATGTTAGAGGAATGGAATTCAAAGCCGGGGTACTCCATTCTCAGGCTAACTAATAACTGGTAGAAATTTTTTCTGTAGAGTAGCACATATGATCGCCCTATCCTGTATAGGGCCCCAGAATAAAATTAAATGTTTTTTCACATTATATAAAATCACTGTTTTGTTTCAGGTGGCTTATGTAAATATATACTTCAGTTGCAGGCATGCATATTTTATTACAATAAGTTTATTTTCTTGCCTGTCAACTTCCACACATTATTTTCATTTGATACAACTATTATTTTAAACTACAGAGCTTATTTATTGAAAGGAAGTTCAGTGGGTGTACTTATGTTTCCAAAGTATTACTCAGATTTGAGACATTTCCTGACATTATCATCAATAATGTGTATGTTTGTTTATTTCACAAAACAATTTTGCTTTTCCACTCTTAAATATGTACTATAGAGTGTATGTCCAGTAATTGTGTGTCCACTTGTAAATTAGGAATGGCTGGTTCTATTTCAGCCACACTTACACTACTGTATCAGTTCTTACATAACTAATGAGATGAGAATAAAAGTTTCCGTAAAATTGTCATTCAAGTTTAGAAGTGATGTTTTATTGCATTTTAAGTATAAGATTTGCTGGGATAGCTTAGTAAAGTGATGGCTACAGGCTGGACTTTCACAAGGGGTGAATTTTTGTTTCTTTGCCACCATGTCCATATGAGCTCAAAACCCCTCCAGGCTCCTTGTCCATTGAATACCCAAGGGCTCTCTTTCCAAGGATATGGCACCCGGAGCATGAAGCAAGACATCTTATGGGCCAGAATTTTAGAATTTCACGTAGACCAGCCCAAGGAGCACTTGGCCTAATTCCGAAGTTCATCTTAAAATATGTCATCTGTACCCCACCCAAGCCCAACTTCCTCTTATTTTAGTCCAAATGAGGCCCAATCTATTTACAAATTGCCTCGACTATCATATCATTAATACAAGTCTCTTCTAATGCATAAATATCAGTAATCCTTTAATGAATTATGTAACAATTCTCTACGAACATTGAGGTTATGTGAGGAATGGTTCAAACGTATCTCCAGGTATGAAAGGTGTTATATCAAACTATTTCTGGGAAGGGGCATCTGCAAAAATCCCCTGAGAAAATTAAGTGGGAAGGATTTGTTTCCAGAGCCTGACTGTGTCATGACTATAAGGTGATCGCAACTATGAATAAATTTTTCTTTGTAATGGCCTAAGAAAGCACAAAATGGTTTATATATCATTTGATTGCTATTATCTGAACCTGTCGAGGACCCAAACAATATCTGTGGTACCAGGCTCAGGCCTGGTATGCGCAGCTTTTCTGTACATGGCTCCAAAATATAGTATTCACAGCTTCATTTCGTGTATGTAAAGAATAGCATGAAACCATGGAAGCCTTTCGGAACAGACCACTCCACCTAACATCGTGGTTGAGTGGCTAACCTTCCTGCTTCGTATTTGGGAGGTCCCAGGTTCAAATATCAGCTCGGAGACTGGCTGTTCTGGCCGGTTTCCTTTTTGTGGTTTTCCTCAGTCCCTCCAGGCAAATGCCAGGAAAGTACCTTAAATTAGGCCACAACTGCTTTCTTATATATCCTTTTGTATTCATCATTGAACACTATAGTCTGAGCTACTGAGAAAAAAATCTATCTAATGACAAGGTTAATCTTTACCTGTACTTGCCCTATATCCTGTTACAACTTGGTGCTTAGGCACTTTACCTTGGATATATTGGTTCACATTATTTGCCTTGTAGAGCAGTGTTCTGCAACTAGTGTGTTGAATTTTTTTTCAGAATTTGTTTATTTGCATGTTATAATTACAAAACGGTAGTAACTTATCTTGTGTGATTAGAATTTGTAATATGCAGACTGATTCATCATCAATAGGTATATCTAACATGTGCTGTATTTTGTTTTCATATGCCTGTGCACTTAAAGAGAAAGGACATACATATGTAGACATATTTATAGCCATGTGTAGTTTTGTATTCCATTTTGTGAGGCGAAATTTTGTGGTGTGCCACATGTTAAAAGAAGTTACAGAATACTGTTCTAGAATCCACATGTATGCTACAACCACTAGCTCCTTGTGGTATGTCAGCCACTGGCTCCCAGAGACATTGCCTCTACAAATAGTAAAGGTAGGTTCCTCATAACTGTTCATCTTCCCCAAGTTTGCTGATACTGTCAGCTCCCCATGGTGGTATGCCAGAGCTGTTAGCTCCTTGCTGAGAATTATTACCTTTCAAATGAAGGCTTTGTATCAGAGAACTCCTTTCTTAGGATTCTCACAAGGGGTGAGCCCCTGCCTCCAGTTGTCTTCTCTGCTTCCCCAGGTTAACTGACAATGTCAGCTTTCCGAGGTAGTATGCCAGTATTGCTCACTCCCTGCTAGGAAGAATCGACTTAAAGATGGCGATTCCATATCTGAGATCTCTTTTGTATGACTAATGCCATTTCACTTGTATTCCAGTGGCCTATTTTCATTCCACAGAGCCCAATGTGGGTGGAAGGCATTTGTGTGACGAGGTGATGCTTGGTGCTTCAAAGGGATCGTTAATGACACTGCTCTCCTGAACTTAGTGCCATGTGGCCCTTGGCTTCGGTGGATCTGAGCCATGTTTGCCATCCGCCAACGTTACCCGTTAGTTTACCGACGTTTCAGAGGTCCTTATTGCCTCCATCAATAAGTAAACTTCCACCAGACTACATGGCTGAACAACCCAGAAGACGCACCACCGTGAAAACCTCAAATTCTACTTTGGAGTACATATTGCTCAATAATTCTCTGAATATTTAAATTATTATTATTATCCCATCTATTCACCACTTTATGGGGTATGTACTTCCATGTACCCGAGACAGACCTTGTCCCTAAGGTACATAGGGCAGCAGCTATTTCTGGGATCCATATTGTTTTTAGCAAGTGCCACATGTATTATATAACATTTTACAATACATGTGACACCAAACTACTTCCTTCATTTCTTCTCTTGTCCAAGCCACTCTTGTTTTTCTTGATTGATTTTCTTGTGAGTCTTGGGTTTGTTGGCTGTGCGTGTCCATGGTTGGCCTGCATTGAGTTGCCTCGTTGCCATAACCAACCTCAGCCCTTGGAGTACCTAGGCGATCTGTACTCCAGATCTTTGTCTTTCCATTCTTCGGTAGTAGCTGCACGGTTGTCCACACTTTGAACTAAGGGATTATTTATCAAGGTTTACTCCTCTAGATCCGCCGTGTTCTGTTATATAACAGGGTCACCTCTAGTCGGATGTGGCTCTTCACCACGCACGGACGGTCTTGAGCAAGGAGAGGCTCTTGGATGCCTAGCATCTGAATTGCGCTTCACTTACTCCTGGGAGGGTGAGGACCAGTGTCCAGCATAGTCAGACTATGATGGTGAAAGGTACTACCTCTCCCCATTACCTTAACCCTATGAAAATGGGGAGCGGTAGTACCTTTCACCATCATAGTCTGACTATGCTGGACATTATTATTATTATTATTCTATACGAGGCTTTGATTGAGGTTTTGAAACTTCTTCCTTTTTACGGTGCAAGGTTGTTAGCCTTGTGACCAACCCCCAACCTGGAGGTCCAGGGTACCTGTCTTAGTCTTACCTCTCCCCCGCGACCTATCTGGCTAGGGAGGCCCTACCAGTAGCTATGCTACCGCCAGTGTAGCTCTTGGGATCACTGAGGTACTCAAGCCCCACCACCACGACAAGGTGCAGGTACCATTAAGTGGGGATTTAAATGCTACTTTTGTTAATTATTCACCGAACATATTCAATTAACGTGATAACGTTTTGTTGTACAGATTGAACAAGATTAATGTCTTCTGGGTTGTAGCATCATGTCACCTAGATGATGAAGGCAGTACCTCTGAAACGTCGGTTCACTTCTACCCGACTACACGAAGCTACAACCCAGGTGACAGCCATCATCATACTTGACGCCTTGTAAAACTGGTGAAACCTTGTGTATAGACGGTAAATTATTGTATGGTGAAACCTATCTTAAGGGACCCATTAATTGCACAATAAATATTGCATAATTTCGTAGCAAAAAAAACAAATCAATAAACACTGTGATAGTGTCTTCTAGAGTTAACTAAGCTGGAAAATAAATACCGAAGAAGAATATTTAGTTATTATCTTGGTGTAAACTGCTGGTGCTAAGTAAAAAAGAAAAGGCATTAGATGAAAGTGGTTCAAAGAGTGACGTGCTTAGCCACAATAATTTATTGGAGGCATTCGGAATAAGTCATGATTATATTCAATTTTGCGTATGGGTGTTCCAACCTTTGATTTATTACAAATGATTGCATCCTTTATAGGAAGAGAAGACATTCATGAAAGATTCCATCTTCGCTAGCCAAAGACATTCTGCTACTCTTCACAGCGAAGATGCTGGTAGACAAACATGTTGAAGATATGAAATTTACAACTGCAAGAGAACTTCAAACATGTTTTCTCCGTGGCGACGGAACACAGGCTGAAAAGATATTGTACTATAATCACACTAGACTGTTCATGAAAATTGATGCATGTCTGTTTAAACAGTATATCGCTCTCTCTCTTCACTCATTGTGCAAACTTGCAATACTGCTCTCCTACATCATCAATTATAATAACAGCAAATCCGATCTTGAGCAATGACTATAAAGCAGTGGTTAAGGCTGCAGGATGCCCTGAGCAGAATAATCTGTGATTGACGCCAGACAACTACTTTTCCAGCTGATACAGAAGGAATCACGATGTTACGATGTGTATGGCCAAGTTGAGTGCAACATTTCAGTTTTGATCAGAAGAAATTGTATCTCTTTTATTACGAAATAAGAATTTACTTCTAATATACATCTGTTGAAAAGGTAAGTAATTTTACATATATAACCCAAATAATGTAAACACCATTTGTCCATTTATTAAAACTCAAACATGGTGGATTTTGGTACACATGAGAATGAATCCGCCGAATGACTGCGCGCACTCTTATCCGGATCAATTGTAGTGTAAAAAAGTTGTTTATTCTTTTATTTTAAAGGAGGGTCAGAAGATGATTTGAAAGTATCTGAATAAACCCTGAGGAAGATGTTAAGCAAGGGAACAGTGGTGTCTTACCAGATCGCTTGCTGCAAGCGTGGAGACACATTTTATGGTCTGACCATTTGAATGCTAACAGAACTTTTGAGTATCCCGACCGAACGAAGTTGATTATAGTTAAAAAAAACTGAAAAGGCAAAAATTATTACTTGTACTACCTGAAAAATACGACTTTGGAAGAACATTAACAGATTTTCCTATAATGTGTGTGCATTTTTCTAGAAAAACATTGCTCCCAACGTTATTTTCAACGTGGATGAAAGTGTCATCTCCACATCCCTATCTAAGTAGTAGCTGGTCACTGTTTGTTGTTTGGTGCTTCAAATGTTATGACCATCCAGCTATGATATTTCCCCTTAAAAGAATTTGTGGCAAACGTTATTCTCAGTTTTGAAATTCAAGAAAATGCAACTGAAGAGGAAGAGAAGACAATGAAAGGTAGATGGAAAGTTGTAAAAATAGACTAGACAAACAGAACCGTTTCCACCATGATTTAACACAGTCTGTGAGGAACAAGTTAATACTTTCACTTATTTGGGATATCACCTGTCATGTGAGGAAGAAAAACATCTGAATGTGAAAATCACAAACATTTTGAAAATAACAGGTATCATAAACCAAATTTTCAAACCAAACCTAGTATCAAAATATACCAGAATTAAAATTTATAAGATTCTTGCTAGACCTGTCATTTATGGTAGTGAATCATGAACTATCCAAAGTAATGATAGAGAAAAGATTAATAACTACCTAACTAGATGCCTTACCGAACCCAAAAGTTCAAGACTGAATTAAACAAAACCCTCCACCAGACCCTGTCCTGTGCCAACAAAATCCAGTCTCCTTTAACTCCTATCTCCCATAGATCCTGCTTCACATTGTCCTCCCATCTACGTATAGGTCTCCCCTCAGACTTCCCAACCAATACCTGGTGCACACCTCTTGTCCCATCCATGTGCGCTACATGCCCTGCCCATCTCATTCTTCTTGAGAAAAGATTAATATAAACAGAAATGCATTTCATAAGAAGAACTTTGGGTTACACACTTTTTGGTCATAAAATAAATGAAGAACCTGTGGACATTGTAGAAAAGCAACTAAACATTACACCAATAATAGATTTTGTAACAGTTCCAGAAAAATTGGAAAGAAAATGTACACTTAATAATTTTAGGCCAACCCCTCAAAAGATGGAAGGATTCTTTTATGTAATGCCCATAACAGGCCATAAGTAAGAAGAAGACGAAACTTCAATATCAAAACTGGATACATTGCCACAGATATAAAATAATTGTGGCATGTAGCTTGCTGAGCTTACAAATCAGTTTACATGTGATAACTGTGAAGCTTAAAAATCTGTTCAAATTTGTTACGTCACTGCTGCATACTCTTTGGTTACGTACTAGGTAAGAGTGCGTATTTACCACTTTTATAAAATTTGTGATTAAATGTATGTAATAAAATATGAACTTATGTTCTAGTAATGTAAGTTAATGCTTTAACCACTAAACAGTTTGTATTCAACTTCCTTCTAACCATTTCTGAGAAAATTAAAAAATAAATAAAGTGTGTACTCTAGTTGAATTTTCATTTATGAATTACAACAAATCCAATAGAAGGCCAAAGAAGGAGAGGGCATATCTGGAAGGTTCCTTAGCAGGATTATGAAATGAGCAGAACATAAGAAACAAGGCACTTCTTTTATACTCCTGGCAAAAAAGAAAAATGTTCTAAACAGAGTGACAGAAATTGACGATTTTTAAAAGTGCAAGGTATGATGTACTATACAAAAGTTCTCCATTTAGGAGGGTACTTTTTCAACCGTCACCAAATTGTGAAACTAAGACGGTATTGATTTTGGATATAAGTCTGAGAAAATTTGTTCTCCACTTTAGGTGGAAGAAAGACAAAGCTGAAGTCGAGTGTTAACTGAAAGACATACTATCTTTGCATGCATCGTATTTGCCGACACTCTGGAAGTACCAAATGGGTGGTTGAGCCATTCAGTTTATATGCAGATGATATTTATATTTATAGCTGTCATACCATAGCAAGAATCTGGACTGTCAAAAGCAGCAGTGGCGGTATAATGATACGAATGAAAGTAAAGTTTCTGAAGGAGTGAGGTGCTGTTGGATGATGTATAATTAAAGTGGTGGCATGGCAAGTCTTCCAGATGATATATTTATTTAGTGTATAGGTATCAACTGGTAAGTAAGCTCTTAGCTTTCCATTCATGAAGTTCACTGGCCAAACTTGGCTGTGCCTACTGTAATGATTGTTTTGGATTTTGAAATAACATTTAATTGTATTCTCTATGTTAGTAATTTAGATGGCAGTCAACTTCGCTGAAAGAGTTGTAGAAACAATTTTACCAGCTGTCTGGAGGTTTTTATGCTTCTCTTGATCAAGCATAAAAATGGAGGGATATTACCTTGAAGCAGGCCATAACTTCATCTCATTATAAATCCTTACCTACTCATCCACCATTCATGATATCTTCCCTTCTCATTTTATGCTGTAATCTGTCTAAATAAAATAGCATAACTGAATATCCCAACAGTCAACCAGAAAATAGAATATGTAATCATATTATTGAAAGAATGATACCAAAGTATGAGATTTGAGGTTCTTATGGTAATGAATATTTCAGTGTTGGTCTTTTGGGTAAACACCACGTTTACTTGTAGATACCAGTGTTCTGGAGGAACATGGCTGCAACACTGGTCTCTACCTATAAGTATACACATTTTCATTTAATTTCTGGATTCTCAGTTTAAACATATATAATTCAATGTGAACAAGCTTCTGAACTCATAATGTAAACTTAGATTTGCACATTTTCTTATTAAAATATAAGCTGGGTGTTGAAAGTGAATTTGTTGTATGATTTGTAAGGCAGAGATTGAGGCTGAATGTAACTACACATTGACACATGTTGTTAGTTACGACTGGATGGCAGGTTTGCTTCTCGGCCATTTTTCATATGTATAAAAGTTCATGTTGCCATGGTAGCCACCATTGAAATTAAGAAGCGTGGTATAGAACCTTCGTCCTCTCTGGCGTGAAGAATTGTGGCTCATTTCTTTTGAAATAAGGCAAGTGGCCCACCAGTGGCATTCTATCTCGAGGCACAATATGTGGATATAAATAATGGAGTATTCTTGTTACGTGAATTTTTCTAAGGTAGTTTAGCCTACTTCATACATTTAGCCTTCTCCAATTTGCAACTTACCAGTTTTTCTCCATCCAAAACCCACACTTCTTACAACTCTCTGTAGCAAATCTTTAGAAACTTTAAAATGTGTCAGCTATGTGCTGGATGGATTTATTAAAATCATGTATGTTGTTTTCTTTTTTTAAAGGAAAAAAGCATTGTTTAAAACTATGAACAAATAAATACAATACTAACTACAGATACATGGTCCTCAGATGTGTTCATGTAATCATTCCTCTTATTAGAGATTGCATTAGTACAAATGCCTTTATAGTAATTTGTGTATATTATTTTGATGAACATAAGTTTCACTACGTTAAAATGTCTTTTGCCAAACGCTACTCGAGAAATCCATACAATTCTTCAGTGTCATTCTCATACAAATTATAAAGTAAAGTAAAGCTGTCCCACTATACGCCATATAGGCACTTGGGGGGGGGGGGGGGGGGGGAGGGTTTAAGCAGTTAAACACACATGTTTAGCTTTGAGTGGTCAGCATTACACCCTGGCCGTGCTTTACACTCAGGAAAGGACCCTGGTACCCATTGGATGGGTGGGCCCCAGAGGCTAGAAGAAAAATCCTCTGCCCCCTCAGAGATTCAACCCCAGTAGTCCAGTCTGTAGCCAGTCACTATACTGACTGGGCTTCGCCAGCTCATCATACAAATTATAGGGACTTCAAAGAAGCATGTCTCCTTCAAACATTCAAAATGCTAAAATATCAAACCAAAGTTTACTTTGTCTAATGCACTTAACAACTTAACTTGTAATTCAAATCACTAGAAACGTAGGGGATGGGCTAGGAGGGCATGACTGGAGAAATACAGCCCAAATTGTTTTGTCTATCGAAGTACATGTTCTTTGCAAGTAGAGTGTACTGTTCAATAACAGGGAGTTGAATCAGTCTGAATCTGGCACACAAAAATTCAATTCACTAGTCAGTAAGTTACAGTATTTCCCAACTGCAAACCACAGTTTCTTTAAGAGTGCCACAGATATTTCAGTTTTGTACTTGTAATTTTATTTATGATCACTTTAGTCCTGTTTATTCTGGTTGGAAAGTGTTAATAGAGTATTAAACAATGTAAATTGTGACATTCTGAGTTGTTACACCGTGTAATCTTGTAGGTGATTACCAGTGGTTGGTGGAATGTATTGGCTGCCATCTTCAAGTTCGACACTTATACTCTAATGATGGAGACAATAAGTTCCTCTGAACACTGGTAGTCACCCAGAAGGTAACATGGTGCCACATTACTTCAAAATAGGTAAGAAACAAAATGAATATGATGTTAAGTTTCCATGTTAAAAGTGTTTTGCCAAAACCCACACCTTTTCTCATGAAAAATGGATTTTTTTATGAAAATGTTAACTATGCTGAATGATGACAGTATTATCCACCAACTAATGATGCAAGCAAAAATGATTATGAAAACGGTATCTGTGTATCATAGTATGATTTTCAGGGTGGGGAACTAACATTCTGGTAGCAGAAGCCAAAGATTCAGAGTACTGCTAATATAAAAAAATTGTATGTTTATGAAATCTGGTGAACTGTGATATTTATCTTCTAATGGATCTATAAATAATGGGAGAAATTTGTAAATACCATATATAAGCAAAGTTAATACACTAGTACTTCAGTTATTTTTGTATCAAAAGTTGCTTTTATTTTAAACTCAACATTGTACATGGATTTTACAAGTAGTCTCAGTTATAATTTATGTGTATCTCAGTTCATTACTTTAAGGAATAACTTTAATTATTTATGAAGGAAAAGCTTACTCTTTCTTCTGCCATCATGTACAAGTAAACAAAATGTTCTTCACAAAATCTGACTGCATAAAGTATTTTAAACAACTAATTTTATTTTCATTTCTATATCAACACACCACAGCTGCTGATATTATCATTATTCCACTATATCAGTTTGGGAAGATTAAAGAATATTAACATCATAGTCATATCAAATCAATTACTTACAGACTAGAACTTCTGAGTATGGACTATTAAAAGTGCAATTTCCTTTGGGTATAAAATTAAAATACAGAATAAAGTCTTGCATCTAATTCACTCCACTTTTGTACAGATAGCATGCAAATGCAATTAGAAACTTTCAATGTAAGCGTAGAAACATTTACTATAATCGATAAGCATAATAGTCAGTCTCTTCATATTCGTTTGAAATGTTAATTACGTCTTAACCTCACACAGGTGGGGGACTAGCTAAGGTCTTATCAGCAGCGTGCTCTTGTGCTTGTGAGATGCCTTCTTTATCATCTCTCCCTCCAGTTCTGTTTTCATGTCTGGCAGAACTGTTGCTACCATTGATGAGGCGCTGTCGTTCCCGATACATGCTAACTCTCATGTTCTCCAGCTGGTGGTAGCGACACAGTTTCAATACTGCAAACACTGTTAAGCCAACCCAACAAGCCCATGAAGCCCATGCTCCAAACTGGGCTGTCCCCATTTCAATAGGGAATCCGGATGTGTCGATACCATCGGCAAGATCAATAGCGTTGCCTGCAGCTAGGTCACAGCTGAAAATAAAAGCTTACAGATCAAGTGTCACTCATCTAGCATATCTACCAAATATAATTTTATCATACCTCCGGCATCTAACTGCTTTCAAACTATACTAATTTATAACAAACTGTACATCTTCCACCTGCATTTAGAAAAGTATAGAATGACATACAAATAATATATTATTTTTGTATGTTCAAAGGATAAGAAATAAAATAATGTTCATAAAGGCATTTATTCCAAAGTTCAGAAATGATAGCAATTTTATAATTATTAAAAACCCATTATACAATTAATATACCCATATAGAATTTTTCAAACTTCTAATATGATACCCACAAACATTCATGTGCTGAAAAATGCCAATATGGTGACCATATGAAGGCTCTTACACTTCACATATTTAAGATGTGGAGCCAGTAAGAAATTTAATAGGTAAAACCTTTTAAGCTTGTTTCAACTTGCTAGTTAGGAATTTACCAAGAGAAGACAGTGTCAGACTGAGAAATGAGAGCCAATTCACAAACTCAACTTACGAAGGGAATCTCTTGGTCATCTCATCACACCACACAAGAAAACCAAGTGTAATCATCAAGGCTGCAACTATTGTCATAGCACATAGGAAAAGACTACCAAGGACGTCTACAAATGCTGATAAAAATGAACTGAAATGAAAAATTAAATACCATTAAATTATCAAACACCGAAGCCAACAGCTGTTAGAATTGTACAGTCACAGACAATACATTACATTTCAAACAAAGTGTTGTTATTTAATAATATGTAAAATTCATTAACTTTCTAAATGTTACCTGTCTGTGCCCTTGTACAAGTACATTGACATTCTGTAAATCTGGACTGCTGATGTAACAAATAAAATCACACCAACAAATATTGTGTAATTGCAGTATGCCTGAGATGCCCAATCAACTTTAAACTGCCCATCTTCCTCTTGCCAAACTCCAGTTGAAAACAACAAGCAATGCCCCCTGAAAGTAAATGGAAAAATATTATTTCAAAAGTGAAGAGGTTGGATATCTTCCTAAAATCCTAATGACCAGTTACAAAAAAATATAGGAAGCAGAGGACCTGGAATGAAAACCAAGTTACCACATTAGAGAATACTTGAATGCTTTAGAGTAAGTGTAAACGTAACTTAATCATCACCCTGATGATGGAAGCAGCAATGGCCTCTGAAATGATAAACTTCTATCCGACTGCATGGTGTTACAACCCAGAAGACAGCAATCTTTGATCATCCTTTTAGGTCTTAAACTAGTCAGGTACTTGTTCAATTATGTATAAAAACAAGAAAGAGCAGTCATCCATTTCATAATTCCTTGGTGATGGAGGCAGAGGTGGTCTCTGAAACACTGGGCTGTGACCCAGTATTGATGCAGCTGGTTACTTGAGAAGATTTTTTTTTCATTTAGTCACTGCAAAGCTTTAAGTCATACAAGTCAATGATTGTTACTTATTACAATTAAGGCCTCTGCATTCAGTAATAGTGAACAGTGGATCTAAAGAGCTAACACAGTTCACAGCTGAGTGGTTAACATTCCTG